TATTTAGGTCTATTTTAACTGGGAGTGACATAAATCTAACTCATACTGGCTTAAACAAAAACTGAATTTACTGGCTCACCTAACAATCCAGAAATAGGTCTTCAGGTATGGAAAAATCTGGGTTCCCAAACTATGTTAACAGGACTGTTTCTCTCCATATTTTAGCTCAACTACCCTCGTGTTAACCTTATTCTTAAGCAAGCTTTCTGCTTAAGGTAGCAAAGATGACTTCAATCCTCCCAGATCAATAAACTCAATAGGAAGAGAACACCTCTTTCTTGTAAGCTCAAGAGAATTGCTTGGGTTATGGGTCCACCTCTGACCAATCACTCTGACTAGGACAGTGGTGTTATATTCTTATTGTCCAGGCCTGATCATTTGTTCCTTCTGGGACATACTCCTTCTGGGAGTATCATGGTAATGGGTGATTCCCACCAAACTCATAGGCTGCATGAGGTGAAATAAAGGTTCTTTAATGAAAAAAGTGTTATTATCACAAGTGATGTGGGTGGTGGAAAAATCTGTACAGGGTGCCTTTCCACAGCAGAATGAGAATGCAACAATCAATATGGGTTCTGAGAGAGAAACTTGGGGCCCTCCTTTAGAAAAGACTCAGTTCTTGCCTTGAAGGAGAGTAGTAAGTGGATTTTTCCTGGACTGCCTAACTTAGCTCAAAAAAGAAAAGAAAAAAAGCAGTAATTCAGAGTAAGGAGTAAAGATAAAGCTTCTGGCTCTAGTAACTTACATGTTCACAAAAGTACCTATACCAGGGGCATCTACAGAAAGAAATTTTGAGGATGCTCTTTGAGAATGACCATTTTCCTGCTCCCTTCTCCTAGAACATTCTATCTCCCCACAGCTATGAGCTCCATGAGGGAAGAGACCACTTCTGTTTCACTCATCATCATATTCCAAGTGCCTAGCAGAATGCTAGACAATATGAAGAAGAACATGGGATCAGGATTGGAGGAAGAATCATTAACAACCTGCAATATGCAGATGGCACAACCTTGCATGCTGAAAGTGAAGATGACTTGAAACACTGATGAAGATCAAAGACTATAGTCTTCAGTGTGGATTACACCTTAATATAAAGGAAACAAAAATCCTCACAACTGGACCAATAAGCAACATCATGATAAATGGAGGAAAGATTAAAATTGTCAGAGATTTTATTTTACTTGGATCCACCCCCATGGAAGCAGCATCAAGAAATCACACATCGTATTGCACTGGGCAAATCTGCTGCATAACTGTGTTCTGGTTCCCTATTGCCACTCTGACAAGAATATACCACCAATAGGATGGCCTTAACAAACAGGAGTTTATTCTCTTACAGTCTGGAGGCTTTAAGTCCAAGGTCAAAGTGCCAAGCTCTAGGGGCTGGGTGAAAGCCCCTCAGCCTTGGGCTTCAGCTCTGCCTCCAGCTCCTGGCCCACTGGAGCTAGAGGCTTTTCTTCACTCAGACAGCTTCTGGCTGCTGAGACTGACAAGCCCAAGGTTGACAAGTAAAAAGGCACAGTCCCAATGTTACCAAACTACATGGCAGCCCATTCATTCAAGTCCATTGTAAGTCCCAAGGTTGAGAGAGCATGGCAGGCTCCTGAACAACAACATGGCTACATGCAGGGTCCAAGTGTGCCATAAGCTAGAGACCAGTCCCCAAGGCTTCTGTTTATATATAGGAAGCAGACCACATCCCTGAGGCAGCTACTCAGCTGTTCACAGTAGATTCCACCATGGAGTTGATTACCAGTCTCATCCTGGGGAATACTATATCCAGCTGCCCACCATTCAACCAGGCCTAGCCAAGTTGACACACAAACTGAACTGCAACCAAGTGTTAAGGAGCAAAGATGTCCCTTTGAGGACTAAGATGCCCCTAACCCAAGCCATTTTATTTTCAATCACCTCCTATGCATGTGAAAGCTAGACAGTGAATAAGGAAGATGGAAGAAGAGTTGATGCCTTTGAATTGTGATGTTGGCAAAGAATACTAAAAATACCATGGACTGCCAGAAAAATGAACAAATCTGTCCTGGAAGAAGTAAAGCTGGAATGCTCCTTAGAAGCGAGAATAACCAGACTTCGTCTCACCTACTTTGGTCACATTGTCAGAAGGGACCATTCCCTGGAGATGGATGTCATGCTTGGTAAAGTAGAGGGTTGGCAAAAGGAAAGACCCTCAATGAAGTGGATTGACACAGTGGCTGCAACGAAGGACTCAGGCATAGCAGGGATTGTGAGGATAGCACAGAACTTGGCAATGTTTTGCTGTGTTGTGCTAAGGGTCGCTGTGGGTCAGAGCCAACTTGATGACACCTAACAACAACAAAGCAGAGTGCCTGACACATCACAGGAGCTTAACACATATTTATTGAATATTGAATAAATTAATGAACCAGGCTGATCAATCTGATTGGCAAGACTGATCAGTCTGTTTGGATAAATCAATCCACTTCTGTGGCCTTTGTTTCTCATTTGTAAGGCAGGAGAAAATGTAGAATGAAATGGTCCCCCCAGCCCCTTCCAGCTCATGATTCAGGATCACAGGGCTCTCAGGGAACAGCCAGGAAGCCATCTTCAAGGAACCAATGGAAGTTGTTGTTGTTGTTATGTGCCGTCGAGTCAAACCCGACTCATAGCGACCCCTCCTTGTGTTTCCGAGGCAGTATCACTACGGAAGTAGGATTGCCCAACCTTCCTTCCGAGGAGTGGCTGGTGGGTTTGAACTACCAGCCGTCCGGTTAGCAGGCAAGTGTCTTAGCCACTATGCTACCAGAGCTCCCAGTGGAAGAGAAAACCAAATTTATTGAGCAACTGTGCAAGATGAAGTCATATGGTTATGAAGTTTTAAATTGCGGGACTTCATGGACCTATAATTTTATTAGGCACTCTGGTAGCATAGTGCCTAAGGCACTTGACTGCTAACCAGAAGGCTGGCGGTTCAAACCCACCAGCCACTCCTCGGAAGGAAGGTTGGGCAATCCTACTTCCATAGTGATACTGCCTCGGAAACCCAAGGAGGGGTTGCTGTGAGTCGGGACTGACTTGACGGCATATAACAACAACAACAACAACATAATTTTATTAGGAGATTTTATTGGTAGCACAGTGCCTAAGGCATTTGACTGCTAACCAGAAGGCTGGTGGCTCAAACCCACCAGTCACTCCTGGGAAGGAAGGTTGGGCAATCTACTTCCGTAGTGATACTGCCTCAGAAACCCAAGGAGGGGTCTGACTTGACGGCACATAACAACAACAACATAATTTTATTATAAATTTGAGATTGATATAAGGCTTTTTTTTTTTTTTTTTGCCAAATTAGAACATTTATAAAAACTGCCATATCATGATCACTACCAATTTTCACAGGAGAGGATTTTTGCACTAATAAAGCAGAAAGTTCATAATCTCAGAAAAAATCTTAGTCCTCCTGTGCCCAGCCCCCACAAAATACTTCATATGATCATTTTTGTTGCAGATAGATAGAAATTTCTACAGGTTGATCCCTGTGTGGTGTCCAGTATTTGGAACCTACAGCAGCTATGCAGGAGAAAAGACCCAGCAATCTGCTTTAGTAAAGATAACAACCTAGAAAATCCTATGGGGTAGTTCTAATATGCCCTATAGGGTCACTGTGAGTTGGAATTGGGAGCTTTGGTGGTGTAGTGCCTAAGGCATTTGACTGCTAACCAGAAGGCTAGTGGTTCAAACCCACCAGCCACTCCTTCCATAGTGATACAGCCTCGGAAATCCAAAGAGGGGTCGCTATAAGTCGTAGTCAACTGGACAGCAGTGAGTTTGTTTGTTTGTTTTGGTTACACACACCCATAAGGAGCTCTGGTGGGGCTATGGTTAAAGCATTGGGTTGCCAAAGGTCAGGTGGTTCGAACCCACCAGCTGCTCTGTGGGAGAAAGATGAAGCATTGTGCTTCCATAAAGATTTACAGCCTTGGAAACCCCATGGGGCAGTTCTAGTTTATCCTATAGGTTTGCTGTAAATCAAAGTTGACTTAATGGTAATGGGTGGGAAACATACATATAAAGGGGTGTGTGTGTGTGTGTGTGTGTGTGTGTGTGTGGTTTTTTGGATACACACCCATATAACTGCCCATTTTACAGATGGCGAAACAGGTTCAGAGAGGGCAAGAGACAGTAAGTAGTAGTCAGAGTTTGTCTGGGTTCTAACCCAGATCATCTTGACAGTTAAGCCAAAAGCCACTTTCCTGCAGGCAAATGACCCAAACTGGCTCCCTTGGGATGCCCCCAGGGTGTTACTGGGCCTAACCCCAAGCCTTGCCTTTGGTGCTTTGTTCTTCAGCACATCTTCGTGGTGTGTCTATTATGCCAGCCATTGGGCTGGGCTCTTGAGAGAGCATGAGGAAGGAAATCAACTCATCCCCAGTGTCCTTCACTCCCATCCCTATGGTACTTATTCTGGTTATGTCCCCAGGCCCTGCTCCTTACGCTGGCTGGCAGTCAGTGAATCCCCAACTCAGGCATGGGCTGCTAACAGTTTAGGGGTTTCCCTTTCCCAGGGGATTGGCAGTTTCCTAGGAGATTCTGGAAATCTTCAACGCCTTCAAGACCCAAAAGATTGGAAATGTAATGGTGGAACTTCAGGCACTGTCAGGGGTTGTAGCGGAAGTCATTTGGGGCCAAGAGACCCAGTTCAAATTCTGTCCAATAACCCCCCGTTTGCCCCTTCCCTGTTCTCATAGGCTTGCGGGGACCCACAGCCCCACAAGTCAGGCTGGAGCAAGAGTATCCCCCAAATCAATGTGTCTTGCTGTGAAAGGGCTTGCTGCTCTGTCTGGGGGAGCCGGGAGCCCGGGGCCGTGCGGGTAGCTCCGGAGGAATGTAGAGCCCGGAGTGCCTCCTCCCAGCTCCTCCCCGCCCCGCCAGCTCGCGGCGGGAGCGCGCCTCCGCTGGCCAGGCTGGGACACGAGAGCGCGCGCCTCAGCGCGGGAGCGCGCCCCGGGAGAACCCGAGCAAGATGGAGGCCGCGTCGAGGCCGCCGCCTGGGCCCAGGCAGCCGCTGCTGGGAGCGCCGAGCCGCAGCGCCTAGGCGGTGCCAGTCTCGGACCTGCTGGCCCCGACCCAGCCCAGGTTGGTCTCCCTGCACCTCGTTCCCGTACCCGCAGCCTCCAGGGCGTCCGGCCTGGGCACGGGGCAATAGCCCCCCCTACCCGGGCCCTACCCGGACCCGGCCGCTCTCCGCGCCCCGGGGCCAGTCCTTCTTCACCGCCCGCCCCCTGTGGCCCAGGTTGCCCTCCGGGCCAGTTCCGTCGTCCCCTTGGCCTGGAAAGCCCCTCACCCCAGCCCTTACCCGCCAAGCTTAAGCTCCCCCAGCCTACATCCAGCCCTAGCTTCGAGGAGCTCCCCCACCCGGTGTCCAGACCTTGCGGTCCAGCGCCCGACTCCCCTCTAGCCTCATCCCAATTCCACCACTTCACCCTCTTAGACCTTACACTAGCCCCTAGTCCCTTTCCTAGCCCCCATATCACCTTCCTAACCCCTGAGTACCAGCTCCTATGCCTTACCCCCTCATAGAAGCGCCCACCCCTCTCTCCAGAGCCCCTTTTTAGACACCCAATACCAGAGCTCCTACTCCTAATCCCAGCCCCCAAATTCCCTATATGCAGCCCCTCTGCTAATCTTCCAATACCGGGCCCCAACCTCCATTCCATCCCCGCATAATCCCCTCCTACTCCCACAATACCAGCCCCTAAGCCTCCTCCCCAACTCCCCCATGACCGCTTTCTAGCCCCTTTCCCATTCCAGCCCCCCAACTTTCACAGACCCTTTACTAGGCCCCCTAAAAGAGATCTTTGCTAGTACCCTCAGACACCGCCCCAACACTCTCATGACCCCCTTCTAGCCACCCCCATACTAGTCCCTAGCACTTCCCCGCCCCCCAGCTTTGCCCCAGGCCCGGGCCTCACGAGTTTCTTGGTTCAGGGACGCCTCTCGCGTGTGTCCCCAGCTCCCGCCCGCAGCCCAGCCGCCCGTCCCGGGCCGGCGGCCCCCTCCAGCCACCGCCGCCGCCGGCCCCGCCCCCGGGCACCATGCTGCCCTCTCAGGAGGCCTCCAAGCTCTACCACGAGCACTACATGCGGAACTCGCGGGCCATCGGCGTGCTGTGGGCCATCTTCACCATCTGCTTCGCCATCATCAACGTGGTGGTCTTCATCCAGCCCTACTGGGTGGGCGACAGCGTGAGCACCCCCAAGCCTGGCTACTTCGGCCTCTTCCACTACTGCGTGGGCAGCGGGCTAGCTGGCCGCGAGCTCACTTGCCGCGGCTCCTTCACCGACTTCAGCACCATTCCGTCCGGCGCTTTCAAGGCGGCCGCCTTCTTCGTGCTGCTCTCCATGGTGCTGATCCTCGGCTGCATCACCTGCTTTGCGCTTTTCTTCTTCTGCAACACGGCCACGGTCTACAAGATCTGCGCCTGGATGCAGCTTTTAGCAGGTAGGGTGAGGGGTGAGAGCGGGACCCCCAGACAAGGTTCCAGGAACGGGGGCTCTTTCCTGCCAGGTCCTTCTCTGGAGTCAGAGGTAGGCTCTGCTCCTCTAAGACACTCATCTCCTTGGCTGACCCTCAGCAGCCACTGGGAGAGGGGATTCAGTGAGAGACACCTTGGGGCTGGGTCAGAGCCTTAGAACTAGGTCTTTGGGTCTGTGTGCCAGGATATGATTAGACTGCATTTATTGGTGGGTTAGCATTATTCTAGCATTACTGAGGATCTCTGTTTATTGTGCTGTCTTAGGGGATATATTTGTGTGAGTGAGGAGTTACTCTAGGGATGATTAGTTTCTGCTGTGTTATAAGGAGCAATCAAGAATCAAGATATCTGGCTTTAACCTTTTACTTACTGACATTAACAACTTGGCATCTCACTTCACTTCCCTGAGTCTGTTTCCTCGTCTATAAAACAGTGGAGAGGACTACAAGAGGACAAATGAAAGAGTACCTTGTAAATTGTAAAGTGCTGTGATAAGAGAAGAGGAAGATGTCTACAGTGTCCAGCCAGTGTTTGAGATGCAGGTGATTACAGCATCTGGCAACATGGGTCTCTGGAGGGCAGATTTCCACAGCAGCCTCCCCACACTCAGTGCAGGAAGGGTTCTTGTGCCTTGCTTAATGGGAATGAGTGCCTGGGACCTCGGAAATGTTTGGCTAAGATGGTAATCTTACCCTAAGAATCAGAGAAAGGACTTTTGGGAATAAGAAATGCTGAGACAATTTTCCAGGATCAATTAGAGTCCCCCACCCCATCTCCAAGCACCTTTCAAAAGAAGACAAATTTTGAAGATTCAGCAACTTGAGCATTTACCTAATTGCAGACAAGGATAAAAGTTGGGCTGGGGAAAGTGGGGCCAGGGATGACAGGGGTGGAGGAGGAGAGCTGGTGAAGGCTAGAAAAAGTTGGGGGACTTCCAGGGATGAGAAAGAGGAGGGAAATGCAATGTTCATGCAGTCCTTCAAAATAGACCCATTGGAGGTGAGTATAGTATCACTCACCGATAATTTCACCACTCAAAACAGTGTAAGGAATTATTTTGAGAGCATGGGGTGCATTATCTTGAACATCTTCATTGAGGGGAAACCTCCATGTTTTAAAGGACGAATCAGATTTTTGGAAATAAGGTGGGTGATCAAATGGAGGATTGTCAGTTGGTGGTGTATGGGAATAGAGCATGAGGCTGGTTTCCTTCCCCAAGAAAACTTTTACAAATGCAGGGAAGAATTGTTGCCCCATTGGAAAAATTGCCCAAGCTCACAAAAGGACTACTTTGAAGAGAGAAGTGCCTTATTCATAGGTGGGCATTGTAATGGGCTTGTTTCAAATCCATCTCATCCCCCTCAATTTAGATATGGGTCTTTCCAAATCTTTGAAGAGGGTGTGAAAGGAGAATTCTAAGGGGTGTGTGTGTGTGTGTGTGTGTGTGTATTTCTTTATATTCCTCAGTGGTACCCAGATAGATGGATATTAGGTTCTTCCATTCCATTCTTCTTCCAAAGGCAAACTGGAAAGAATATAAACTCATCTGGAACCTCCAATTCCTCAGGCTTAATTTGGAGTCTGTAGGTGGGTTGCTGACTTCTTGGTCCTCAAATATCTGTAATCCATGTGAATTTAATACTGGGCATTTTGTGAACTTTCCAGCAACCCTATGTAATCTTAGAATTTCAAAGATCTTAGAGATAATCTCCTTCAAGCCCTACCCCCTACATACACATTTTAGAAAGAAGAAATAGCCTAGTGAAGTAAAGGGATTGTCCAAAGTCATGTAGCCAGTAAGGGAGTAAACTAGGATTGTTGTTGTTGTCGTTGTTATGTACCATTGAGTCGGACCCGACTCATAGCGACCACTCCTTGGGTTTCCGAGGCAGTATCACTATGGAAGTAGATTGCCCCATCTTCCTTCCGAGGAGTGGCTGGTGGGTTTGAGCCGCCAGCCTTCTAGTTAGCAGTCAAGTGCCTTAGGCACTATGCTACCAGAGCTCCCAAACTAGGATTAGGCTTAGATTTTTGATTCCTGGCCCTATGTTCTTTCCCTAATGTTATTGCCTCAGGGCTTATGGAAGCAGTTGGTAGAATTGTGCAGTTTGTTCCATTTTTCTTAGAGGTTTTCTCTCTGGGTAAGGGACCAATTCATTTTGTGTAATAAAGTGACACTAGGCCAGAGGCCAAAGGCCAGAGCACTGGACCAGGAGTCACAGGATGGGGGGCTGACTTGGCTCTCTCTGCTCGTGACTCACCATGCTGTGGTAAACATGTCTTTTTAGCTTAAGTCTCAATTTCTTATCTGTACAGTGGATTAGTTTAAAGAATCTCTTTTGGCCGTGTAGGGCTTCTAGAATAACTCTTTCACCAATGTAATTCCATTGAGAAAGAAAGACATCAGTCATCCAGAGGAACTACAGAGAAGCAAAGGGCCTGCTCTGTGTCAGATAAGAACTAGAATGCCTGTCTTAGGATTCTCAGTCCAGTGAACTTTAACTCAAGTATTTTCCAAAACCCTAAACCAAACCCACTGCCACTGAGTTGATTCCTACTCATAGTGACCCCCATTGGGTTTTTGAGGTGGTAAAGCTTTTGGAAGTAGATTGCCCAGTCTTGCAAGTATTTTGCTAAATGCAGAACACTGGTCCATTGGGAAAATGCAAGGAAGCATTTACTCCTTTGTTTATTCCTCACATGCTTTGTGATCATGCCTATGCTGCATACTGCAATACTGACATACCTAAGATACCATCTCTGTCCTCAAGAAGCTCAAGTCTATAAAATGCAGTCCCTGTTCTTAGGAACCTTACCCTCTAGTTGGGTCACTGTATTGGTTAGCATCTATCAGTAGCAAGTGAGATAAACCCAACTTAAATTGGCTTAAATAGGGTAAAATAAAATAAAGAGGGTAGGGTTTATTGACTCACATAATTTCAAAGCCAAGACTGTTTGGCTTCAGACATGGATAGATTTAGGTACTCAAATAATGCCATTAAAAATTTGTCTCTCTCCATTTCTTGGTTCCTCTGTGTTGGTTTCATTTTAAGTCTACTTTTCTCACTAAGGTGGCAGGCAAGGCCACTAGCAGTTCTTAATTTACATTGCCTTAGCCTGTGGAAGACAAACACTGTTTTCCAGTGGTTCCAGCAAAAGTTCCAGGGCTGATTCTCATTGGTCTAGCTTTGGTCCAGAGACCACCTCTGGATTAATCATTGACTTTATCTAAGGCCTGGGTCACATGCCCATCCCTGGAACACATGGACTGGTAGTGGAGAAACGTCAGCTCCCACAAGGGAAAATCAAGTGTGACCCCTGGAAGAATGGGGATATATAGGTAACACAAGTGCAGACAGAAGCTTCCCCCTGGGCAGTCTGAACACTAATGTGTGCTGGGCTATAAGTGCTATGGAAACCCAGAGGAATAGAGGGGACTTCTGGCTTAGTTGGGAGCTGATGCTTGAGCTGGCAAGGTGCTGACAAAGGTGATGTGTGGAAAAGCATTCTGAATGGAGCGGGAGATCATGGGTGCAACGACAGAGGTGAGAAAGCCACATCTGGCTTGAGTGTGACATCCACCTAGGCAAGGAGTGAGAGTATAGGCCAGGAAGGAATGAAGGGCCACAGTGTGCAAGGCTTTGAATGCCAGATCAAGGGATTTGGATTTGTAATCACAAGCAGGTGGAAGCTACTACTATTGTTACTATTATTCAAGAAAAATAGTTAGCATTTCTTTACTATGTACTGGAACATTTTACCTGCATAATATTATTTAATCCTCACCATAATCCCACATGGGAGCTCTGATAGCATAGTGCCTAAGGCACTTGACTGCTAACTAGAAGGCTGGCGGTTCAAACCCACCAGCCACTCCTTGGAAGGAAGATGGGGCAATCTACTTCCATAGTGATACTGCCTTGGAAACCCAAGGAGGGGTCACTATGAGTTGGGTCTGACTCGACGGCACATACCAACAATAACATAATCCCACATGGTAGGTATATTATCATTATTTTATAGATGAGAAAACTGAGTCTCAAAGAGGATAAGTCATTTGCCCAAGGTCTACTACTTGTCAGTGGTGGAATTTGGATTTTCACTTGATTTGTCTGACTTTAAAGCCCAAGCTTTTGGTTAGAGGAGGATTAATGATGTGCATACTGGCAGGATGAGTTTGCCAGAAAAGTTGAATGATAAGTAGAGAGACTAGCTCTTTAAGGAATTAGGAATCAACTTTTCAGGCCCTTTCAGGTTATCTCCACTACTCCTTACCTAGTGTTTTCCATTTACTGAGTACATACAGTGTACCAGATTCTATGCTAGACATTTTCACATTCATTAAGTCATTTAATCTTCATCAGTTAAAATATTTAAAGTTTAATATCCCCATTGTACAGGTGAGGAAACTGAGGCTCAGTGAGACCATATGACCTGCTAAGGTCACCTAGTTGGTAAGTGATAAGGGACAAAGAGAAACATCTGTAGTCATAGGGTGAGACTTGAGCCTAGATCCCTCCTATTTCCCCCACGGAAAGATAATTCTGACCACAACTCACTCACTACTGAGGACTTACTATGCCAGGCACTGCCCTGGTGCTGAGGTCACAGCAGAAAACAGAGGGTGTGAAGTACAGTGGAAGCTGGAAGAGTCTGAGGGAAATGAGTGGCAGCAGAGATGTGGTTGGTGTGATTCAGAAGTGAGCATGTTGCAGCCTCTGGATGTGTGTCCGTAGTCACCTGGGTCTCTGGGCTGGAAGCAGCAATCACAGGAGCCCCCTTATCAGTGTAGCTTAGAGTATACATCCACAATCCTCTCCATTTTCTTAGGTTTTGTTTCAGATTTGATTTGGGGTTGTATTCATCCAGTGAGTGTTGTATGTACATGACACTGCTTAGAACAAAACAAAATAAAACAAAAAAAACAAAACCCACTGCTATTGAGTTGATTCCAATTCATAGCAAC